TTAGGTTTGTTAAACTTTTTTAATCGCATCTTATTGTGGGTGATTTTTTTCTAGTGATTTCTTTTTGCTCTTTTGCCTGTTATTCTCTTATTTTGAGGGATGCAGATATTTTTTTTAATTGATTTTATTTATATATTTATACATTTTATATTTCACTTTTTCTTCTCATCCCTGCATATATTCCTCTTTCACAGAGGATTCATCACTATATTAGAGTGTGTGATGTACCTCAATGCAACTGAGGACACATATAATGTTGGTTTCTTTAAGAAGCAATAGTCTCCTCGTGCAAAATACTTTGGTTTGTTTATATTTCTAATAAAATGTGGTAAAAAAGCTTGTCATGAAACTAAAAACAGATTAGTAAATTCATTGGTTTGCCTTCAAATCATTGACGTTTTGGGATCTTGTATTTCTATTTTATTGCATTTCTTAAAAGTCTCTGCTGCTTCACCTATATATTTTATTCATGTTGTACATATTCTACCTTATTATCATCAAACTGACGCTTTGGTGCGCTGAATTGAATTGCACGTCTTCATTCAGTGGGACAATAACACACGCAAAGCGTTAACAGCGTTTAGGCAGCGTCGGCTAATGACGAACAAGCTCACAACCATCAACGGTCCGTGCATGAAGTATAATTCTTCTACAGCTGTTCACGCTGTATAATGAAAAATACCAGGAGTATTGCCTAATTTCATTGTCCTATTTGTGCAAAGTGCAAATGTATGTTGCCTTCTAATGGCCATGTAGTCTTTGAGGATGAAGGACCACCAAGTCCTCATGGTTCCTCTGGACCACGCGGCCACTGGCTGAAGAAGGCAGAGCTGGCTGAACATGGCCTCCACCAGGTGGCTAACACTGGCCCAGTTTGCAGGACCTGAGTTCAGTCCAAGAAGACAGCTGAAAGATAATCAGAGAGCAGTGTGTGTTAATATAGATCTGATATTCATTAGAGGAAACAGTGATATTTGAAGTAAAAATCACCTCTGGAGATTCTCCTTCCCAGGACAGGAGGCGTTCTTCCCCGTCGCTGCCTTGAACTGTCACCTTGGCTGCCTCTCCTGGTATCTGGGAGGGAAGACAACTCGCTCTTCCTCCTGCTCTGTCTGGCAGGTGTTGCCAGGAGCTTGGAAGTATTTGGCACTGGCAATTTTATGTTTGCATGAAATGATAATACACAATATACTTAATCACAAGCTATGAGACACACGTATATACCTGTGATGAACTGGTTAAGGTGGAAACCAGTAGGCTGACCCTGCCCTTTGTCAGTCTACCAGTCTCTGTGTACAGCTGCACACCTGGTGGGTCCTGAATGCAGCTGAGGTGTCGCCTGTGTCTCCATATGTCCTGGATGAGACACAGAGAAAGGTTTCAAATGTTATTGTCAATATTAGTGAGTGAATTTAATACACACACAACAGAGGTGTAAAAGCAGCTGAAACAACATAAACTCTGCCTGAATTATACCTCATCCTAGAGAAACTGCCTGGTGGGAAACAATACTAGAGATGGCTGTTGGACAAATCAGTCAGTTAGACATACAGTACATTTAGAAAGTTTTTCTTTTTACATTTTGTTATTTTGCAATCTTATAATGAAATTCATTCATTCATCAATGAACAATGTCAGCAAGCTAGCTGCTAATGCTAAGGCTAGCTGCTAATACTACCTAGACCCCGCATTGTTATTTGCAATCTAATGCCAGCTGCTAATGCTGATGCTAGCTAGTTCCCCCCCCCACTTGTTATTTTGCAATCTTATAATGAAATTGTTAAATGAATTCATCAATGAACAATGCAAATAAGATAGCTGCTAATGCTAATACTAGCTGCTAATGCTAATGCTAACAAGCACCCCCCCCCCACTTGTCATTTGCTATCTAATGCTAGATGCTAATGATAGCTAGCCAGCCCCACTTGTTATTTTGCAGTTTTATAATGAAATAATTCAATTAATTCGCAGCTAGCTTGATCCCCTCACCGGGCCGTGAGCCCAGACAGGAAGCTAGCCACGGTGGCTAGCTTGGTCCCTCACTGGGCTGTGCGCAACTGTTGTAATGTGTTTCAAATTACCCTCAAAGACAATAAAATACTACAAACAGCAGTTTTGTATTTGTAAAAAGAAAAACAAGACGTTGTGAATAAAACCGAAGAAATGACCAGCGGTGAGGTAACGCACAGACACCGTGAAAGACAAAGTGCTTTGTGTAAAATTTGGTGCTCAAATATTCCCTTAAAATGTGTTTCAATAAACAGATAGGGATATGATGTATAGGTTTACAGCGGAGACCGTCCACATTCCTCAGGGACAAATCCTTCACTATGTATTGATTTTCTCACATATGAGCTGTGCACAGTTCAGTATTATATTACCAACACCAGCAGCAACATTAACCGGCCCAGTCCTCCCATCACTCACTCTTCGGCCAATGTAACCGCACACGCCCCCGGGCCGTACGAGGCCCTTCACGGCAGCAGGTCAGACAAGTTCACACAGAGTGAAAGAGGCGAGTCAGCTGGGGACAGATTCTTCCTCACAATGACAGCTGGCGAGAGGCAAACTGGGTCTCGATGGTGAAGGAAGGACGAAAAACAAAACAAGGAGGAAGGACGAGAGGAATAAAAGAAACCAGGAAAAAAAAAAAAAAAAGATTTGGCTGGCATCAGAAGTTGAAGACAGGGAACAGCTTGACAAATGACACAGAGAACGAGAGGGACACTAATGCAGGCAATTAAAAGAAGCAGCAAACATAAGGTGGCACTGACAGAGAAGTTAGAGCTCTTTTACATGAATATGGCAAAGTTGAATCTGTATTCTACACCCTGAAGGAATTTTTCTATTTTCAAAACTACTGAAATATGAGATAATCTGCAATCATGATATTTGCTGTCATGTTCTGGAAAAAAATCTAGTAGCGTGAAAACACTGACAGGATGTGCCAAAAATATCACCTAGCACGGTGAATCTGGTACGTCTGTGGTTGACTTAATGTCATGACCTTTGATGCTTTTGGTTTGGAAAATCCTGCCCACAGTGCTGACTAATAAAACAATCAACACACACACAACACAACCGATTGCTCCTCGTTTTTAGTTGAGTTGGTTTGAGTTTAAAGTTAAATTTAAAAATCTGTATACCTCACTGTGACTTGCATCACATTTCTGTAAAGTAGCACGAAGCCAAGCACTGAAAACCTCCGTGTAACAGACGGAGGGTATTACACCTTTTATAATAAGTCCAACCCCAGTTTTTTTTTAATATAATTTGATGCATTTCACTGAAGCAACGTTCAAATGAGTTGAAGTCAGAGCCACAGTTGATCGATGAGAAGTGTTCAAGAGTGGAAGTGCCACCGCGCTGTCAGTTTGTTGCAGAAACTGACTGTAGATGAATGATGACAAGCGGCGTGGGGGGGTGGGGGGGCGAGGATTGACCAGAGCAATCAGGATCATCTCGGTTTATTGCCAAATGTTTCTGCCTCTGCCACAGAGCCTTTGAGCAAAGCACCAATGTGGACTGAGACGGAAGAGACTAAAACTGAGTCAAGACACAGAAGGACAGTAAAAATGGCTGCTGATTACTCTGTATAAGACATTCGACCCAGTGACGGAGCTTGAGGGAACCGGATGTCACTGTACATTCAGCCTCTACAAATACAAAGGAGATATTTCATCCCACTTATTTATTTTTATTTGTCTTTTTCTTTGTGATTTATTGGATTGAATTGTGGAAAGGTTTTTCTTTTTTCATTTATTAAGAAATGAAATTATTCTATAGAGCTATTGTATGTGTTAGTTTTGTGTTGGTTGTTGTGTTCTGTATTGTGAGACTCATTGTGTGGAGGTGTATTAATGTATCTGTTGTTATTGAAGAATTGTTTATGAATTCAAGGGCACCCCAGGAAGAGTAGCCATTGTTATAGCACAGTGGCTAATGGGGATCTATAATTAAATAGATAAAACATTCATACCAGAGTGTAGTTTATTTATTCATTTAGGTTTTGTACATAATAGTCTGTGTAACTGCATAAAAACTGTAGTTAAGGAAATATTAGGATTGAAAATATCATCATCATCCGTCATAAATGGACCCTCTGAAAGATTTCAGAACCCAAATTCTGTTTTTGACCATGATGAAGACCATGTGATACAGTCAAAAGCTATAGTAAGAGGACCATGAATTGTGTTGGTTTTGCCAAGAGTAAAACATTAATACTTAACTCTATATGTCAGCATGGAAAATAAGTTTTAAATGTGCTATATGGATGAAATAATTACAGCTACTACAGTTACAAACACCATCTCTGATAAAGATCATGTGGCCAGGTTGAAAGCCCTGGGAAAAGTAAGTAGGCGGACCTTGAGTTGGCACTGTTTTGATACTGCTCATTTTCAAGAATAAGTGAATAAATGACTCCTGTGTCTCAGGTTTCACTCACAAAGCCGATTTGAATTTGCCATTTTCACTATTTTCTGACATTTCATACAGTGAACAGTCTATTATTAATTAAAGGATAAGGAATTGATCAAATTATGTAAAGCAAAACTGAGGAAGTGTGGGCCCTGGGCAGTTGCCTGATTTCACTGATTGGTTTCCAGCCTTGCTTAATTAAGTACTTTTCAGATTTATTTTTTTGTTAAATGCAGCTCTGTATCAGCTGTTAAATAACACGTGCTGTGTGAATATGTGGGAGTTTTTCATGTAGTTTTAACCAAAGCATGTTTTCCCAGATTGAGGTATAGAGGCCTTAATCTGCACTGAGGACAGTCATCACATATGATTTTTACATTCTCAGGGAGGAGCGGAGGTGAATCTGTCCAGTAACAGATGTTACACCTCGCATTCCTGCACGGGCGTGTGTTGTAGTCTCCGTGCACGCAGCCATGTGTTGTGTCGGTGTTGAACTTCCTCGTCCTGCAGAAGAAGGAGGATAGAGGCGTGACGTCGCTGCCCGCAGAGAGGCCCGTACGGCAGGAGGAGACAGGCAGGGACGCGCCGTGCGGTGGACGAACGCTGCTGCTGCCGCAGAGCACACTGCTGCGAGACGCAGGAGCAACGAGGGCACAAAACAACCGGCAACCACGGCAACTTTGCAGAGACAACAGACAGCCATAATGCGGCACCGCCCGCCGACCCCGGAGCTGATGTGACTGTGCACACCAAGAGCAGGGAGGAAGCGGCGGACAGCACCACCACCTCTCCCCGGTTTGCCTCGCCTCGTCTCGGCGTGAGCGGCAGGTCGGACGGTCGGTCTGTCTGTCTCTGTCTGTCTCTGTCTGTCTGTCTGTCTGTCTGGAGGGGGACATGTCCTCACTAACCGTGGAGGAGGACCAGAAATGGTTACCGACACACGTCCAGGTGACGGTGCTGAGAGGCAGGGGCTTGCGGGGCAAGGGCAAGCACGGCACCAGCGATGTGTACACCATCATCCAGCTGGGGAAGGAGAAATACTCGACCTGCGTGGTGGAGAAGACCACCGAGCCGGAGTGGAAGGAGGAGTGCTCGTTCGAGCTGCAGCCCGGCGGGCTGGAGAGCGGCGGGCGGTGCGGCTACCCGGCCGCGAGCAACGAGCTGATCCTCACCGTGATGCACCGGGCGCTCATCGGGCTGGACGTGTTCCTCGGACAGGCTGTGATCCAGCTGGATAAGCTCTTTGGCGAGAGTAGATGCGTGAAAAACGAGTAAGTTCAACTGTCTATACATGTAGTGTGTGGGTGTGTGTGTGTGTGTGGGGTTACAACATGCAAATGAAGCTACTATGTGACCTAAAGCTGCATGCATATTCTTCTTCTGCTTTTGCTTTGTCTGTTTTCCCACGTTCAGTGAACTCATCAGGGTGTTTCTGTCTGTTCCAGTGTGTTTTTGTTGTTGTTGTTGTTGTTGTTGTTGTCCTGTATAGTTGCCATACAGTTTGTTCTCACACATAAACACAGCTGTCAAATCTGTGATGCTGCATCAGGGCCCTGCAGACACACCCTCCCTCCTCCCTCAGACATAGGCTACCAACATAAAGTCTGACCACTACACATCCCACTGACGCTGGAGGCTTCCCCAGAGCCGGAGCTTCTAGAAACCCCATGTCCCCCTCCCCTGTCTGTGTGTGTGTGTGTGTGTGTGTGTGTGTTAGTGTGGGTGGGTGGGGTGGGGGTTCCCACATTAGGTGCTTGGGTTTGGTTGTTTTGTTGTGGGTTCTTAAAATGTTATTTCCCGGTAGCAGAAGCATGACGTAGAGCAAGAGGTGGGGGGGATTAATGCCTGTCCCAATTCCAGGGATTATCCAACAGTTTCATGATCCGATAGCTCCGAGGTATTTTTAGAATAACATGTTGTTTTACAGAAACAAAAGCCCACCGACTGGAGCACAGGCATGGACTTAAAGAAGCCGTATGAAGTTTGTTGCATACATTTACACAGCTCAAATCTTTACAGGAAATGTCCACCATTCAATAACTCTTATTTGTGATCCATATAGGACAAAAGAACAAAGCAATGAACACAGCTTTTGTTTACACATCCCTGGAACTTTTTGCATTCATCTGTAGGTTTGATAGTGACATGAGCTAAAGGAACAGTGAGATTTGCACTGTTTGCTCAAACATTTTTAGCGGCAGCAGTGCATTATGGTCAATTGAGGCAACTGTCAGTGGAAAAAAAAAAGGGACTTTCTGCTTCTTTTCTGATTGATTTCTCCCTGTTTGGTGCAAAATTAAGACTCTAGAGGGACGTTTTTGTTGTTTACTGCTGATGTGCTGGATAACGAAAACATTTCCTATCATCAGACCGCGATGACATGTGATGGCACTTTGTTTACAGTCTCCCAGACATTTGTGGCAGAAGCTAAATGACTTTTTCCACAACTACAGCAAGTATCATCGTCTGATCTCCTGATACTTGTGTTAAACTTGACTCAGCTATGTCATAGTGTTTTCAGTTGGATTTATCCTTTAAATAAAAGCACCACAGGAATATTCAGAGTATGTACATGACCTCAAACATCCTCCTTCATCCTCATGTCCCGTCGACTGAGCACAGATTGAATATTTTGGCTTCACTATGAACACAAACGTTCCTCTCACCCTCTTTTTAGTTTCTATGCCCTTTTATGGCAGTTTGATAGACGGGACTACCACCCGGACTTGACCGGCTGAGCTTTCACTCGGATAACCCCGTGAACATGAGCTGAAAGGGGAACCAGTCTCCTCCTCATGTCGGCCCCCTGGTCACCTGAAGGTTAGCGTCAGCCTGTGTTGATGATGTGTCAGCAGTTTGGTGCCTTGTTACATTCATTGCCTCCACGTGGCGTTCTCTGAAACTTCCTGCACCGTTCAGAAAAACAAGATAATGATCAACGACAAAACAGTGTAACAGCAGAAGAATTATTTGTGAATTGACTTAGTGTTTCTCATACAGGAGGATCTATTTAAAAACTTCCCCACAGTTGCCATCGTAAGCTAACCTGCTGGTCATACCGGACCAAGTAAGGCTATCGCAACAAAACTCTTGAGCGTATTGAATTGAGCAACAGTGCGTTATGTGTAACTTGTCTTTGTGTAAGAGAATTGATGTGGTTTCTATTCTGTTAAAAGTTAATATCGACACTTTAAAGTGTTTTCTACAGAACTTACCAACGTCAAAGTTCTCGAGTGCTTTAGTCTTTAAAGTTGTCTTAATACAAACATCTATACAAAGAACTTTACCCAAATTAAATATGGCATTAAGTTAACAAACCCATGATTTATATAAGTACTGTAGGTCAGAGAACTTTGAATCTGGCAAATCATTTATTGCCTATCTTTAGTTATTGAACCACTCCTGATACTTCAATACAGGGCTGGGAAATAATTTAATCCTACTGCATCTTGTCTTTATTTTTTTGGACTATCCTAGACATTTATTCCTGGAATTCAAACACAAATGAGCACAAGAAGATATGACAAATACTGTGCTAAACGTGTCCCGGCAATAAAAAAAAAGAAATGATTAAACCTCCACGGGACACTGACACAGACATTTAGTCATGGTGGAATCATAATTTGTCTTGTTTGATTTACAAAATTTTGTTGTCCAAATTAATATTATGATTGACGAATTAAAAAGTAAGAAAATAAGTTATTAAAAGTTGTGGTTTTCCATGTGTGCAGAGTCTGAAGTAATGCCCAAGAGTAGAAACACAATTAAACACTAATTTGATTTGAGTTGATCCTGCACACTGGTAACGGCAGTTGACAGAACAATCTCCACTCAAAGTCCACTTACTCACTTATTGTGGAGCTTTCAACAGTATCACACTTTTAAGCCAACGTGGATGAGTCGACATAAATGTGCTTTAAATCATCTGCTGATGAAGTCTTAATTTGATTATTTTATATGTAAATTCGCCATGTAGTGATGCATATTGAAGATATAAAACATATAGTATTGATTTTAGCAATGTGACAGCCCTAGCTACATAAAGAGTGAAGTAATAAGGTTCGATGTAGAGTCACAGTGATGACTCAGCAGTAAAGCCTGATTGAAATTAAAAATATCTTTTTTATAAAGTGTCAGAAATAACAGCAAGTTACAGGAAAACAACATGAGACAGATCACACTAAATATGCCACAGAATCAGAATTAGACCGAAATGTGATTTTAAAAATTTCTAAGTGAAATTTGTAATACAATCAGATCATTCTTCATTCATCTTTACAGACTGTGAACCAGATGGAGACACAACAGCACATGACCACACAGTCTTGCGGTGTTGTGGCGTGTTTTCACTTCAGGATGATTTGTGGTTTTGGGCTGTTCACAGCAAAACTCTTTTTTAAGTAAAGCTGTGTGATTTGTGTTATCTTGCGGCTGAGTAATAATAGGTTCCTCAAGGTTGTCATTTTGTTTAAGGTGAGCTTTATTTTGCATGGTGATAAAAACCTAGAAGGAGTGATGAACGGTGGCAGTAAAATCTGATAATAAAAAACGTGCACAAAAGTGCAATCAATAAAGCTGCTCAGGTGAGATGCAGGGAAAGAAAATCAGGAGTTTATAAAACCAACTCACCACAACACAAACATATTTACACACAGATGATCATGTGCTCTTCTTTTATTTAAAAACACACAATAAAATGCAGTCACAGGGGTTTTCTGTGATAGTAGCGTTACGTTTATTATTGCAGGGGTCGAGGAGCGAGGTGCGTGTCGGCCAATGTTCTGCCAAGACTTTCAGTTTACAATTTCTAATATTTTATTTATTTTTAAAGGCCTTTAGGGGAGGTGGAGGCTTCACAGTGATGTAGTGCTCGGGGTCGTATATTTCAGCAAATGGAGACATGGCAGGTCGAAATGGCCCTTTTCTTCTGAACCTCTGACTTATTTTATTCTCTCCAGGATTCATCAGTTTCCATACAGTGTACTTCTGAATCAGCATGTTCCCGTCACAGTCAGTGGAAATGAAAGATGAGGTTTAAATGTGGATGTGGTTATGCTGTAGAAGATGAGTTTAACGGCCGAATATGGGTAAAACAGTCATGGACTGATGATTTTTAGACTTGAGAGAAAAATAAGAAAATGAAAACCTTGCAATTCGACTTTGACTTTAATACGATGTACAGCTGAAAATGATTATATTCATTTTTTTTTTCAATCATTAATTTTGTCTTCAGATGTCATGTTTTGTGTGACCATCAGTCCACAACCCAAAGATATTATATTTAGATATTAAGATATATTTACTGTCATGTTTGACATAAAAAAAGTCATCAAATCCTTGAGATGGTTAAAACAGATGTTTTGCATTTTTGGTTAGATAATGACTGATGATTGGCAAAATAGTTGAAGATTCTGCCAATTAACTAATCAATTAAGAAACTACTCATTGCAGCTCTAAAACTGTGATACTGAGAGGACTTTCATTAGCCTCTCCAAAACCAAAAACACAAGAGGAAAACGTGTTGGCGGCTAACTAGCTTGCTACCCACAGATATGACACTTTTTTCCGTCAAGTCATGGAGCTAATGTTCTTTTAAGTAGCTATCTCGCTACAGCTAATATGCTAGCGACAGACATTTCAATTGTTAAATAGATGGTTGCTGGCTGTAAATTTACAATTTTTGTAGATGTAATATATTGAGATTTTGGGTTATTTGTTGAACCAAAAGCTATTTGAAGGCGGCACATACGGCTGTGAAGGCAATTTTACCTATTTTATAGTGTATATATATAGTTGATGAAAATAATCATTACTTACAGCTTTACAGTGAGACAAAAAACCCAATATCATACACTGATATTGTGGTACCTCTTTGTTATATCAGAGAATCACTGTAAATGACTAATGTTATTTACCTCACAACCTCAACCTTAACCTCACAAACTAGCAATCAGATTAGCAAAACAAACGCCTGAATGCTTGGTTTAAAACGTGTCCCAACATGTCCGATCTTGATCAGCAATTTCTACATTAAATGAGGTCAGAACAGCTGCCCTCAAACGGTTGGCATGGGAGGATGCAGTGGCCGTGATGAATTTGCATGTTAAACTAGCGTTGAGCAGAAAAGGTGGGCGTTGGGTGAATTCCCCTAAAGGGTATGTCAGGAGGAAGCTACAAAAACACTGCAAGACTGGCAAGCATAGCAAGCAACTCATGTTATAAACAAAATATTAATTTTGCAAAGCTTTTTTGCTAAATATTGACCTTGTCA